ATCTTCGTGATACCATCAGAGGGTTGCGTTTACTGTAGTAAAATTTCACGTAAATACTTTTGATACCTCGTTCTTTGGGGATAGTTCAGTTCAACATAATTTCACGTAGTTTATATCATCAGTAAATTGCGTGAGTTTCGACGTGGTTTCACGTGAACCTTTCTAATACCACCGAAGTGTGACGTTTTGACATTCTCGTAGCTTCAACATAATTCTACGTAACTCTTCGTGATACCATTAGAGAGTAACGTTTACCTGCTATTATAGTTTCAGGCAAGCCTTCTTAGTGCCTGAAAGTTTTGAGAGTGATTGTACATGCATTTTCCTATTGGTAGCAAGGTTTATATATATTTTGACTTAGTTTCAAACAAATGATTATGATGATTTCAAATTATGTATACTTTTAAGACCGTTTCACGCAACCTACGTGATACCATTAAGGGAGTGGTGCGCATTGATAATATAATCTCGAACAAATTTTGCATGAGAAATTTGTAGGAATCGGATAATTTGATACATTTTGTTATATTGATGATGGAATGCTATATATTGTAAGCAGAACAAAAAGGCAGAGATTTCAACACTTATAAAAGAATAATGAATAAAGTTATGCCTTTTTTGTGCCACTTTTTATAAATGAATGAAAATCAATAATTCTTAGTAGTATTTGAAGTAACTACAAAAGTTCTGGAACCATTACTTGGCTAATTTTTTATACAACTAAATAAATGATGTACTTCACGTGATCATATATATATGTATACCTGTCTTATTTATTGAAGTAATGGAATCAGTATTTCAATTTACGTGCATTATCTCATTTGGTCACCAAAAAGATGATCATTTCAACTATAAACAGTTATTTATTGTACATTACTGAACGTTTGAATAAGTTTTATAGGAAGCATTTTCTACGAACATTTCGTACAATTATCACGCCAAAAATGATCGAAGGAAGCAAAGATAAATCTCAAAAAGTGGCGGCAAATACTGTGCAGGACGAAGGAGATGAAGTGGTGAATGAAGCGGTGATTACATGGGATGGGACTGGACAGAGCTTAGATGCTGTAATTAATCATCAAATGATCGATTCTTCTACTACGTCATTGTATTCATCTGAAGCTGTAAACTGCTCATTTTGTAAAACTGGCAAAGAAAAACCATGCCGTAAGTTTTACTTGAACAAATAATTCTATCTAATAAGAGGATTTTTTTTGTAACAAAATTATCTTCTCGGTATGGAAAAATTGAATTAAAAAGCTAATTAGATGTAATGGAATGAATGTGTCAAAGTGATAGATAAATTAGAAAAACGATGAGATAAACTTGAAATTTTATCATTTGTGGTATTTTGCACAATTATACAACAAATAAAATGTTAGATTCATAATTTGATACTCTTTAGTTATTAGTATATAGAATATATTATTATGTAATTGCATAAAATGCATAAATAGTCAAAAAATTTTTGCATTTCGAGATTTTTTTTTTAATTGAGTTTTCATGATATCATTTTTCATGTCTAAACAAGCCAACTCTGAAAAAAATAGTGGAAATTTTGAACACCGAATCCATGTCGACAGAGAACACCACATCACTTCGAGAAGGACTTCATCTTTTCAATCAGTTTATTGATGCTTCGGACAAAATACCAGTTGATGAAATCTTTAGTCTTGGATTAGATACAATTGTAGTTGAAAGTCTTGCATCTTCAGTACTATTTTCATTGCTTTTTTTGAAATTTTTTCTTAAAAAATTAAATTCCGCTGATATAGAGTAAGTCTGGGACGAAATGACCATAATCTAGTTAGAGTAAATTTTATAATGTATAATTTTTGCAATTTGTAAGCCTAAAGCTTATCACCGTATAATTTTATTACATGGAAATTTACTTTGTAGAATACTTTCGTGCAGTACTACTCGACTTATGCTTTGACAAGAATTATTCCGTTATCAAGTACAAAACAAATCGATGTACTGAAATCAAAAGGACTGCTGGAAAATCTTAAAACTGTACTGTGCTGTTCTTTTCTGTTCATCCTGCAAGAGGTATTATGAGTAATATGCAATTTGAAATGATCAAGTGGTCAAATATTTGAAAATGCAATTTAATCTGTAAGCAAACTATTTCTGTAAAAATAGTATTTTAGGCAACTGAACTTTGTTCAAAAATGGCTCTCAAAAGCCCTTCCTTGCGCGATGATGTTGTAATATGTGGCTCACTACGAATAGGAGAATTTGTATCAGGCCGATTTAATTCATTACCTGTTGAATTCTCACAAACTGTTGCAACTCATTTTAAATATTTATGCCATCACAAGCCGATTCCAGAATACATTTCGATCACCATTACTTCTTACATTCGTAGTCTACTATTGCACGAGGTTTGCTAGTCATATTTCAGTAGTCTACTAGTTTAGCATTTATAGTCTTATTCTCAAAAAATTTGAAATACGTGTGGCATATAATTATCATCATAAAAGTGCCGTCATATTTGGTTTCAGGTTTCACACATTTATCTTAATGAGTCAACTTTTCATTCGCAAGACTCTTTTCATTTTTACCTTCTTTCCATTATCAAGAAAGCGATTTGCATTGAACCTTCAAATGTGGGCTGAGAATTGAGCAATATTATTTTTGAAAATTGTTGCTTTGTGTCTTGATAAAACTATTTTAGGTTTTATCATTTCTAATCTTCTGTTCTTTTAACCAGCTGAAGTCTTCAGAAAAAAGAAGTTCGCGTGGCATGTTTAAATGCTTTTTATGAGATAGCTTGTGATAAAGATACCAGTTTCATTCTTGACGAACATTTCGTGGGATTCATAACCAAGTTCATCACTGGTCCATTTCGAGAAGAAATCGACATCTCATTTAATATTATTCTACAATATTCGAGACAATTTAAAGACACTGTTCATGTAACACATTATGATGGATGCAATTTGTTAATGAGCTGCATATAAATCTTGTTTGATGATTTTCATTTTCTTAAAATTGTTCTCCATTTCCATCTTTTTGAAATACGACTTCAAATGAGATGAAATTGTTTTTAATGCCGGACTTTCTTCCCTAATCCTCTTACTATATTTTCTGATCTACTTACTTTAATAACTATTATGATTCAAGAAAAAGTTTTTTTGGATCATAGTAATCACTAAAATGCACTTTTACCAGATTATGAGCGACTTTTGTGTTTATGTAAGTGTTACCATTTCAGGATAAACTCAAAACATATTTCGTGGATAAATTCGTGCCCGCCATGGTGAGCCATCCACCTCCTAATTTTGGTCTGAAACTTTCTGGCCTTCTCAGCCATTTTTTGTATACGAAAGCAGATATAGTCGCTCTCACAGATTGTGGACTTATGTTGTTTCTTTTCAGTGTTCTGGATGAGGAAAGTAGTTTTCGTGGAGATTTTATTGGAATTATTATCTACGAAAAGTCATTACTGAAAAAATCAAATTATTAAAAAATTTTCAGGATCATTTTATCCTGACATTGAAATAAATGAACTTTGCATTATTGAAAAGATAAAATTGTCAAAATAATTTTAAATTTATTGGAAATTAGTTATTAAATTGGCATAATAGTGACACTAATAAATTGTTAAAAAATTTTTTGACTAAATTTTAAAAGGTGTACATTAAAATGATATATGAGAGTTTAGAAATGAATGTATGGTTTCAGGGCATTGACAGAGTGAAAGATGAAGCTTGCATGGTGCTGCTTTCTATTCACTCTCACTTTAACTTAAATATCGGAATGAGTTTAATTTCTGAAGTGTACCTTGAAAAAATGTTCAAGATTATGTCACGCCAAAACATGGAGCATGTATTTTGTATTCTTTCGATTCTTAACTTTATGATAAAAGAAAGTTCGAAGCTGAGATCACCATCCAAGCTGGCATATGCCGTGGATTACATGAAGGTTCGGTTTATCGGAACGTTTATAATTGGTTCTTTTTTTTTTGAACAAAAAGATTTCGTACTGTTAGATCACTTCTCCATGATCAATACGTTTATTCCATTCGCTGACTTGTCTTCATTCATTAAGTTTTATTTTTGCCAATCATTGAAGAGTTTGATCTAATTCAACTTTTGTTTTAATATGATCTAACATATTTTTTCCTTTGCAGAGAACAAGATCTTTCGAGATTGTTGCGCGTTACATTGAAAGCAAGGAAATGAGATTGTGTAGACTTGCTTATGAAATACTAAAGATATTTTTATCGAGCGCTCTGAAAGATACTCATTAAGATTATCAAGCAACAATACATTTAAACACTGTGGCAAATCACTACTGACATGCATTTTACAAGTGCTACAGTCTCTATGATTCATTACTCTATCTTTTATTGACTTACAGAATTTTAATCATTGGAGAATGTTTCATTCTATTCATATAAATGAGCTAGTTTTTTTTTCTTATATTAGAAATTACTTCATCCGTTTAACAGTAGCTTTAGTAACATCAATCACACTTCCGATGAATAACATTTTGAAAACGAATATATCAGGATTTCTACTCTCAAATTTCCTTCTTTTACAGATTTAATATGCAGTGTTTGTTCTAATAGATTTGGGCAAGTATATATGTTGTTCTTGATATTGAAGAATATAAAGATCAAATAAAGATTGATATTGTTTTGCCTGAAGTTGTCTAGCAACACCGAAACAAAGTTTATAAAGTCGTTCTGAATTTTTTGAGTTTCTAATTACTTTTTTAAATTCTTTTGAAAAATAAAAATAGTCTTCGAATTTTCGAAATTTGAAGTAGTAACTTGACTGCGTCTACAAATTTCTAGTAAAATGAAAGTGAACTTGGAAGATTTTAATCAGTTTTTTAATGCTCAACGTTATTATTTTGCTTCTTCCGTAGTGATCAAAATGGCATTTGGTACATACAGCATACATTTATTTAAGTTTTAACATTCATTAACAAGTATTCAGATTGACCGTACCATCTCACCATCAATGATAAAAGTAACTGAAGCTATTCATTGCACTTTACTATTTTAATTTATATATTATTTACTGCGATATTTTTTTTTTGTTTTTTGTTTTTGAAAACTGTTTTTTCTTAATAATGACAAAAATAGATGGTAGAATTGTTAATAAAATCTATAATTCAGCGTAATAATCCGCAATAATATTCTCGGCTTCGAATTTGCCTTTGAAATAATGTTTAGTGTTAGCTTTTGCTTCAAATTAAATAGTCAATAGATTATGCATGAAATAGCCATTGCTTTGAGATGCATAATCAATATAAGAGGGTATAGCCTAAAATGCATGCCAGAAAGTGGTGTTTGTAAGCGGTGACTTCCTTCTTACTTTGACTTCTACAGATAAGATAAGTACTACTTGCCTGAATCTTTGCTTTGTGTTTCTTTAGTGCTTTCTCACGCTAAGTAGCTGAGAAGTATGCACAGGTGCATTTTTACTCACTAATTTTTCTCTTTTCTCTTTGTTCATTTATTATCGCTAAATTTGAAATTGCACTAAGTTGAGACAGCAGTTCCACTCATTGTCCATTTTTGCTACATTCCGTTGCACTCAGTGCTGCCATTGTCTGCCATCTGCATCACCTGCAACCTGCAACCTGCAACCTGCAACTGGCAACCTGCAACCTGCAACCTGCACACTTGCATATCATCGCCCCCTTCCCCTCTCCCGCCTCCCACTTTTATTTCCATACATTAATCGTTTTAATCGTTTGCCTTTCATGCAGTATTACTATATATATAGCTCGAGAAATAACAAATAGATTATGCTCCTCAAGCAAAATTCCACCCTAAACCAGCATTTATAGTCTGAGATGGAAAAAACAAATGTAATATATTCTAATTAAACAATAAAAATGCTTCTTAACAAAATATAAGATATTTTGTGCAAGTGCAGCACTCATTTGCATAAGGATGGAATGCTAAGGAAATGCTGAAATAAACGATTTTTTGACCAAAATATGTCTGTCTTTACTCTAATTTTTTCTCAGTAATAATTTGCATGCTTTTACCCTTATATTTTTTAATTAATACGAACATTGAATGAGCATACTTTCATCAAAATATCTCAAGCTTAGAATGTCTTCTTTAGCAGTTATTTGCAAGCAGTCATAATTTTAAACACAAATACGCAGCAATGGTTACATTACGAGAAAGTTTCTTTCGATTGAAAACAGCTACGGACGTATTAGAAACACGACTTAGACGGTGTCTTACAGTAACTGATATCACTCTACTTGGTGTTGGTCATATGATCGGTGCTGGAATATATGTTCTCACAGGTTGCTCAAACCTTTGCATAACTTGATTAAATTTTATGTAGTTTTATTTTTCAGTGTTTATTCATTATTTTATGGCTCAGATTTGGCTATATTCATATCTTTTGCAAAATAAAATTCTATATCTAAAAAGGATTAAGTAGTTTTTTACAATAAACTAAAAAAAGTGTCATTTAAATGGCATTATTAATACTAGCATTTTTTATGTTTCTGAAGTTTGCTAACTTTCGTATTATTAAATTCATTCATATTATTAATGGCAAACAACTATTCGAGTACTGAAACATGATTTCTTGATAAATACCAACACAAACTTTGTAGTTTCTATAGCAAAATTTGTTGTCACAAAACAAGAAAAAGCCTCTCTACAACTCATTATGATTATAATTACTTTCCATTTAATATAATAGCGAGTTGACGCTTTCATGGTAATTTGTATTTCATCGTTGATGATTACTTTACATTATTATGAATACTTAATAAACTATAGAAACTTTTATTCCGGGATACTAACTGGAAAATAAATGGTTCATAACTTGCATTATCTTGCAATATATATATGTACTTATATATAATGCAAAGAATCCTAAACATTAGTTTCCGCTGATTTTATTTGTCAGTAAAAATATTGGTGGCATTTTATAAACATATAGCTGACATTTTCACTATTTCTATTTTATATACTTTTAGTGAAAAAGTTATTTAAAATATATATATCACACTGTCTGCAAATGAACACAAACATTTTAATAAAAATCTTTATTTGTCAAATTTAATTTTCAGCTAAGTAATACGTAAAGTTAAAATGTTTTTTCTAATTATTCTTTTTAATTAGTCTGAAAGCTTGAACATTACAAAAGCATACACGCAAATGTAAATAAGCAAGAGATCTCAAACATTCAAGGTTTCCACTGATTTTATTTATCAATAAAAAATTTGGTGACACTTTCATTATTTCTATTTCATATACTTTTCCGTAAAAAGATTTATTCCAAATTTAAATCTGACGAATACGGAAAAAAGTGCAAGCAGATTGCGGTTTTTTTTAAATTATCAATTATTTGCTAGAAATTGTAAATAATTTAGCTAAAATATTGAGGTTCTGTGGTACGTAATACTGCTGGGCCTTCAATTGTGATCTCATTTGCGTTAGCTGGATTAGCATCATTTCTTTCAGCATTGTGCTATGCAGAATTTGGTGCAAGGTTTCTTTATTAGAAATTTAAATAAGAAATTTTATTCAATTATTTGTATTCTATTAGAGCATTAAAAAAATGAAATAAACACACAATTTCACTTCTTTAAGAAATTTTCGATATTTTTTTCTAATTTTAAGTTGTTCTAATAGAATTAGTGAAAATTTTGAAGCACTATTAAAAGATATTAGACATGACTTTCATCAATTCTATGAGTGGAGCGGATAAAAATATTGCACTATAACTTAGCAATTTCTTTCTTATTTAATGGATTTTTTTAATAAAAACATGTGAGTCAAATTAAATCCAGCGTTTGTCCTTTTCAAATTCATTCAAGTTATTTTGATAGATTTACTTTGAGTAATGCAAAATTAAATTAGACATTCAAATTTTAGATTTCCAAAGGCTGGAAGTGCTTACACATATGCATACATTGGAGTTGGTGAACTTTGGGCTTTTATTATCGGTTGGAATATCATTCTTGAGCATATGCTTGGTGCTGCAGGTTCTAATCTATGATGATTTCAAGATTTTTATATTGCATAATTTTTGTTAAAAAAGCAATAAAATAAAATATATTTATCAAATTTTTAGCAGTTGCTCGATCATGGTCTGGTTATTTAGCAGCTTTATTTGGTGATTCTATCAGAAATTCCACTATCATTACCATGAAACATTTTGATGTTTGTTTGTTTCTTAAATTTATTTTAAAATACTGTTATGAACACTTAATTTCTGCAAAAGTTCGATTTATATTAATTATATTCATTCATTAAATTACAAAAGTATCATAAGTATAGTACTGAAAGCTACTTTAATTTTTAAATTCTTTACTATATTTTTTAAATTTCCGTTCAAAATTATTTTAGAAAATAAAGGTCATTGCTTATGTATGTAAAAATAAGCAAGATGTGTAGTAATAAATTGATCTTTATATTACTTTGCTTTTATTTATGAGTTATTACTTTTTAAATTCTTCAATCAAATTTTTACTTTATGAATTTTTATAGATTACTGTAATATTGCAAGAGAAAGGCATAGCACAAATTTTTTATTTAAAACAAATGCGTTAAATGAAATAAGTTTGACAAATTGTACGAGAAATTTTTTTGAATGGAGACAGAATAAAAGATGACTACTTTTTAGGAATCACTTTTTGCTGATCATCCCGATCTAGTTGCATTCTCAGCAGTTATTGCTGTAACAATATTTACTGGTCTTGGATCTAAATTTTCTACTCATTTCAATTCGATCTTTACAGTAATCAATATGCTGGTATATTAATTTAATATATTAAGTGCATAAACGTGTTAATTATCGTTTAAATATTCATAATTATCGGTAATAACTTTATAGGTAATAATTTTTGTGGTCTTTTATGGTTTCACCTTTGCTAATTTTGAATTTTGGTCTGGCTTTAATGCTGAAACTGGCCAATCATACTTTTTTCCATATGGAATTGGTGGAACATTAACAGGAGCTGCAAGTTGCTTTTTTGCTTATATTGGTTTTGATGGTTTGGCAACTGCTGGAGAAGAAGCATCTGGTAAAATTTTATCAACATTAAATTTTTTATTAATTCCTTGTGTTCTAGTCCTGATCTATTTTTTTTTTAATGCTCTGATAAATCCAAAACTGACTATTGATCAAAGTTACTGTTTTGAATTCATTTTCATTTACAATGGTCAAATTATACTTTGTGGTTTCAAAAAGAATGATAAACTTTTTCACATTGCCTATCCAGTAATTTTAGATCCATCTCGTACAATTCCACTAGCAACCTTTATTTCCATGTCTGTCGTAACAGCAGCTTATATTCTAATGTCTTCAGCACTAACTTTGATGATTCCATTTTGGCAGGTACTTTTTCTTATTCATAAACTTTTTTATCAATTTTGTTTTCGCAATTCATGAATATTTAAGGAAAAATATATAAACACTTTTAGATGCCTACAGAAGGTTTTCTTCTTTTTTTAACCAATATCAACATATGATATATGATAAAACACTTCTTGGTCATTTAATACTTCATATAGCAAGAAATTTCGATTCCTTGTGCACTGTGTATCGTAGTGTAAAAGACTGATATTTTAGATATTACTAACTTTAATTCTTGAGTTATCATTAGACAAGTAGATTGAAACAACAAATTTTGCATATATTATTACTACAGGTAAATCCTACAGCAGCATTTTCGGATGCTTTTGCAAGGCGCGGTTCAACATGGGCAAAATACGTTGTTTCAGTAGGAGCTATGTCAGGCATGACAACAAGTCTTGTTAGTTTTATAAACTTTTTTTGGTTACTCAGTTATGGTATAGCTGGTATATTTTTGAGATGGTTTAAATTTCAATTAATAAGTACCAGAACTTTTGAAAAGTAACAAGTTCTAAATAACAAAAATGTTTATCAAATCAGTTTTGATTTTGTATATTGAAATTTGCCACAGATTGGCTCGCTTTTCGCTCTTCCACGTTGTGTTTATGCAATGGCTGAAGATGGCTTGATATTTAAAACTTTTGGACAAGTGAATGTTAAAACACAAGTATACATTTATTTGTCATTTTTCGTATTTATAAAAAGGATTCGGTAATGTATTTAGATGAAAAAAAATTGAAATAATATTTAATTAAAAAAAATTAATGATTTTAAGAAAATTACTCAAAATTTATTCCAAGCAAATAAATGATGAATCTAATAAAATATAATAAGTATTTATTTGCTTTAAAAAAATTGCATACGGTTACGGCTAACGAAATTTATTTTAGTTATATATGTATAATATATATATATTTTTTACAAAGAAACATTTATCTAAACTTCCCATTCTTTCATATTTTCCGAATTGATTACAAAAGAAACCTGTATTACAGGTACCACTGAATGCCGTTGTTGTTTTTGGAGCCACTACAGCAATAATAGCATTTCTATTTGATATAGAAACACTGGTTGAATTTTTATCAATTGGTACTCTTTTGGCTTACACAATTGTTTCCGCTTGTGTTATCGTTCTTAGATATCGTCCAACATTCAGTGACGATAATATCTGCGAGGGAAATGGTATAAAATTTTTATCATTTATATAAAGTCACATATTTATTTATTATCAAGATTTTTAAAACTATAAAATTTCAAAAAACATACTGATAAACACGGAATAATTTTTAACTTCGGGGAAGTTTATTCTTATTTAAATTTAAAAATTCAAAGATTTGCATATATTTTTTGAAAAAAATTACATAATTTGAAATTGCCAGGCGTCTAAACAAAACAAATTAATAATTAATCTCTAAAAAGATAAAAGGCTATAATACTTCAAACTTTTATTTTTAAGGCAGTAAATTTTGCGTTGCAATTATTATTAAGTTATTGTTTTTTTTCTTTTAAAAATCTTATTTTTTATCAGCAATATCAAATACAAATATCGATAGCGAAAAACGAAATCATTGAGCTTAATAATTTTTGAGAATTTTTTGATAACTCAGGAGGCCTACTGAAAACATGGGTGCCAGGAGAACGTTGGTTAGGCGTTCTGGAGCCTGGAAGACTTGTTTTATGGTGTGTCTTCACTATGATCTTTGCTGATGTTGGTATAAGTGTCATTTTTGCAACGCAATTTGCACATACGACATTTGGTGTAATATTCTTATTCATTTTTGGATTAGTTGCAACAATGGCATTCGTTCTCATCTGTATACATAATCAGAATAATACTGAAATTTCATTCAGGGTAATTTATTCTCCATTATCATCTCTTTCACTATCTAAAAATCTTAAATATTTATCTATTCCAATACCTTACCTTATGTTCACTAACGTTTATTTATTTTTAATAGTTGTAAATTAGAGTAACAAATTAATAACATTACCTTTACTTATACTTTACTTATTCAAAATTGTAAAGTTCAGCTTGCTATTGTTTCATTTTCTTTGTTTAACAAATTTTCTTCATTCTAGGTACCATTAGTTCCACTCATACCTTCTATTAGCATACTTATCAACATTCTTTTAATGTTTCATTTGGCTCCCGTTACGTGGATCAGACTTGTAATTTGGTTAGCAGTTGGTAAGTGATTCTCACCTTCATTTTCGAATTGTTTTTCATCAAATCTTTATTTGAGAATTTTTGTGCTGCTACTAACCAGTTTATCCCACATTTTACACATTTTTCACGTATAAATTTATTCAGTTAAAAAATCTATCAAATTTTCTTCTATCAATTCAGAATTTTCCTTACAATGAAGTTTAAAGCTTTTTTGCACTACATTATTAAAAATAGAAATATTATGACTCGTAGGTCTAACAATATACGGCTCATATGGGATCAATCACAGTCGTGAAGCAATATCAGATTCTGGTTCAGTGACAAAAAGCACTACATATGAAAGCATGTTTACCGATACGATCCCTAAATTGTAAGACTGAATTGAAAGTATTAAATTTTGTTCTTGAATTCTTTTTAATGATAAAATGAAAATTTTGGCTTGATCATTTAAAGTTCATAATAAAATAACGTTAATAAGTAATTATTTGGAGAGATATTTATAGAATATCATAATTACTTTTCAGAAATATTAAGTGACAACGTTCGGGAATCTATGGATATAATATGACTGGATTCTTAAATTTAAATATTCCATTTTTTTTAAAATACAATCTTGTCACCTAAAAAAAATAAGTTGGCAAAACAGTGAATCATTTTTATTGGATAAAAAAGTGCACGAATTACTTTTTGTGAAGAAGTTATTTTATTTCTTTGATATTTTTTTACTAAATTTTATATAGATATAGTCTACAGAATGGGATTATTCGTATTATTTGATGAATTAATAAACAAATAATTGTGAACCGAAATGTTCTGAAAAGGAAATAAATCTGTTTTTCTTAATTATTTATCACTGACCACTGACCACTGTCGCTGCACTTTGAGACTTTAAATAACTTAGAAATTATTCTTGATTGCAATTTCTTACGCAGCAAGTTCATTACATATTCAACAACTATCAGTAATCATATTCAATAACAATTTTTTTCGATTTGTCATACATATTTGGTATCACTTTTTGCAACGGATTTCAGTTTATTGAATCAATTGTTTTAACTGATTACAGAATCTGTCACTAACAGTAAATATCTTCTGTCACTACAATAGTCATCTCCTGTTACTACAGTGATTATCTGGGCAATTCCAACTATAAGCATCAATAAGGTCTAATCCATTCTCATCCCCATACTTATTAAGGTTTGAATATATTGTGGATTATCAACTTGCTAGAAGTTATAAATGTTAAGATAATTCTTGTTAACACGACACCATTTTAATTTTGATAAATGAATGCAATAGTCACTCAAGTAATTAATGTAGGTGAGAGTATTGGCTCTTCATACTTTTTGAGTGAAATTTCCATTCCTCGATCAAAACAGTAGCAAAAAGTATTGCTTCTGAAGCTGGAGAGGTCAATAATCCTTTCTTAAGTGGAAGTTAAAGTCAATTCAACCCTGTTCTCACTGCTGAATCTTTATTTTGTGTTTTGTGACGCTGGTTTTTTCAATACTTCTCCATGAGCACAAATATTGACACATAATAGAGCAACTTAGTTCTTTTGTCTTTTAATTATAAGTGAATCATCCGATCACTCATTCATTCATTTAGAGCCTTAATTGCCAGATTTCATCCAACTAGTGCTGTCGTGAATTTAAGAAGATTCATGTACGAAAGCAGAGTAAATCCATTTCTATATTAATACTGCATGAAGACCATATATCCATGAATAATGTTGATTCCAATAAGTCAACATTACAACTTTTATTTCTGCAAAGCAAGAAGACAATCAGACAGTAGTAAAAAAGCTTGAACATATCAATTTATAATATTATTAAAATTAAGAGAGTGCTGAAGACTACAACTTAAGCAAGCAATAACAATGCCAAAATAATTTTTGTAAAGCAAAAGTCATGAAGTGAAAGAAGCATCAGTTATTACAATACAATTGTAGAAAGGAAACAACATAGAGCATATGAAATAAATATCCATAAAACAACAAGAATTAATTATTATATTATTACAAAACAAGTTCAAAAATAAATTAATACAAAAGTATCCGTCACAATCGACGGCCACTATATAATACACATTAAGAACAGAACAATATAAACAAAATTTTTTAAAATTTAATTGTTAAAAAAAAAAATTAACCACAAATCTTTTGTGGCCTTTGCCTTTCCAATCAGCTAAATCATGCTCTCGAAGTAGATCGGCCTTTGTAAGAGATGCTGCTTTCGCGCCAGTTACGACGGAAATTTTGCACTACTGCTTTCGTGCCTTTCCTCATCATTCGACGACGTGGAAAGCCTTACGGCACTCATATTCTTGAAAAGTTCTGAAATGAAAATGATTATAGTGAAAGCTATGATTATTTATGAACAAAAATGGGGTCAAGTAACAGGAAGAAATGAAAAATATAAGCGAAAAATAGGAATTATAGTGAATAACGACTCCAAAAACATAAAACGGGATGGCTATGAGAACAGTAATCATTGCCAAATAAGCTCTTTACTCGCAGCCAAGTTTAAATTAGGCAAATGTACATATCTTTGGTAGCTTATACTGTCTGAGAAATAAATAACTGGAAACATACTTGTCCTAAGAGTTGCATAGAATGCTCTTCTCATGGCCCTTTTCCAAAAATACGTTTAATGGGGCTCATGAGAAGATGTAATAGCATTCATCCAGAATGCCTCCTTAAGCTTTCATTGAGTGTATGAGCAGAATCCACGTGCGACAAAATTGATGGGATCGCTGATTCTGCATCCAATTAAATGACGCATCAGCTGATCCTTTATTTAGCCAACTCATGTCAGCTGAATCTTTGCTAGGCCATTGCTTCTTCCATGATTCTGAGGAACATGCGGCCAAGCAAAGACGATTACCTAACAAAATAATGGCATAAGAATCATAAATGAGAATGTCAGCACATTTGAGTGATACGCACACGTTAG